CAGATGAAAGGCATGGTAAACCAGCTCTGAATGTTGTCTACTTAGAAAACCCTGGAAGTCAGAATTGACTTGATGACACACACACAAGCACACATACACACACATCCCACAAAAAGCAACACCTGAATTTTGTGATGGTGTACTGTATGTGCTTATGCTAAGACAGGGAAAGAAGACTATGAAGATTTTGGTGGAAAATATAGATTGGGAAATGAAGATGGATGATGGATTACACAGTGAAGAAGAAGGCTTTTTTGTTACCGATACCAAATTCCAGTTACTACCAAGGAGACTGACTGTCCCCATGGACATTCCAACAAGATGGCACCAGCAGCAATATTGTAAGATAGCAAATATTGTAGATTATATCCTATTTAATCAGATGTTTTGTTAAACTGGTGATAACTTGTCTGACTGCTTACATACATTCAGATCATGTTGTTGATATTCATCTCAAATTAAAGAAAAATGAAAAAGTAATAACAGAAGAAGCATGGCTATTAAACAATGTACTGTGGCGGAAACAGCAATGCCTTTAAGTTAAATGCTTGCTTACTATTATTCAACAGAATGAGAAATTTACAGCCCTTTCAGTGTTTGAACATGTGGAATAAAGACAGCTTTGTGGACACTGGAATGCCTGTCACTGAAGCTTATGCATAGATAAATATTTTTGTATTCTATTCCTTTTTTTAAATTAGCACATTTCATTATTTTTGATTGCAGAAATTCTGTTGGGCAGCTGTGCCTGTATGATAGGAATGACATCCATCAACAGCATCAGATTGCTGCTAATTAAAGGCATCCTTTAGTGCTTTCGAGGTTCATGTTATGACTTTGTCGAATTTTGTGCAGACAACACATAAAACCAGCGTGAAAGGATAGTACCATTCTATGGATATTTTTACTTCTGCTGAGAGGGACATCCAGCGTATCTATATCCTTGTCTAATCTTCAAGAAACACTAGCAGACAACAGAAGAACTTAAAGCAAGAGTAGCAGTTCATTTTATTGGTCTATTCATTTCTCATAATGGAACTGACACACCACCTTTAAGGTAAATACTCTATACAGCCTTCTGGCAGCAGTCTGTATGAAAGCTTTTTGGAGTTGTAGTCCAAGAACTTCTGGAGGCCCAAGGTTGAGGACCACTGTTTTAAGGGAACCTTCAAGACTCAGGGTGTGACTAGACAGACATTTGTCTCACTCTTTGGTCCAGCTTGGGTATGGGCTGGTTTACTCATTTTCTCAGTGACCACATCATATATGTGCCATTGCAAAGCAGTCCATACTGACTGATGCCTAGTCACACATTTTGGGTCGCTCTCAGGGGCTACTTATGTTGGGGGGGTAGGATGGTTTCATTTTGGTTTGGTTCTAGCATGTGTGCTCACTGGGATGGAACCAAAACAGATGGCTGAAATTGTCCCTTTGCCTAATGAGAAGTTTTTTTGGCTGCTCAGCTGCAGAGAGGAAGGGAAAGGGTGTTTTCCATTTCTTTTTAACTGTTGCTTTAAAAATGTCTTTCAATTCATTGCTGATCTGCTGTATCAGATCAGCAATTAAAAAGAAATGGAAAACTTCTTCTCCCGTCTCCATCACAGGGGAACAGGAAGAAAGCTTCACATTTCTCAAGATCATTAAACAGCTTAACTAAAGCATGGAGGAGGATTTTTGTTTGATTGGTTGGTTTAGACTGTGCTCAGCAGTGTGGTCCACACACAAGAATTGCTTCAAATGATATACTGCACCTCCAACTCTGTTTAGCACAATAATTTAAGGTAATGGCATGGCGCTATCTAGTCATACCCTCAGGTGAAGGCTTCTGGGAGTTGCAGTCCAAAACTCCTGAGTAACCCAAGGTTAAGAACCACTGGTTTAGACTGTGCTCAGCAGGCTCACCACAGGTACAGTGTGGTCCACACACAAGAATCGCTTCAAATGATATACTGCATCTCCAACCCTGTTTAGCACAATAATTTAGATTAAGGTAATGGCGCTATCTAGTCATACCCTCAATTTCTCCACTTTTCTTGCTGCCCAAGGAAAGGCTTAACCCTCTCTCTCTCTCTCTGCCTCTGCCTTGGAACAAAGGAAGTACAATATGTGGGTCCTCAGAAGTATTCTTTAGGCACAGCAGTACCAATAAGTCCTGTTGGGAAAGTTCCTGGGCCTGAACTTTGTTGCTTAGAAAGCAAATCTTAGGGCTGGAATACCAGCTGAACCGGTAAAGATAATTTCATGCTGACAGGTAAGTTCTGACTTACGGAGCCCCTTTCCCCATCAGGTATATTTAGAAGTGGTTTACCACTCCCTTCTTCTGAGTGAGTCCTGGGACTATGCAGCTTGTCCAAGGCTACACAGGATAGCTCTTCCCCAAGGAGGCACAGTAGGGAATCAAACTCCAAACCTCTGGCTCTCCAGCCAGGTACCCAACTCATTGAGCTATCTAAGTAGCCTGCATAGATAAGCATATTCATATACTGCGGAGCCCCTTTCCCCATCAGGTATATTTAGAAGTGGTTTACCACTCCCTTCTTCTGAGTGAGTCCTGGGACTATGCAGCTTGTCCAAGGCTACACAGGATAGCTCTTCCCCAGAGGCACAGTAGGGAATCAAACTCCAAACCTCTGGCTCTCCAGCCAGGTACCCAACTCACTGAGCTATTCAAGTAACCTGCATAGATAAGCATATTCATATATTAACTATGCCTAAGAACCATTGCAGGGCAGTCATTCAGGCTGGAGTGGCAGGTTGAGTACATAGAGAGTTTGCATTCTCCTCCATTTCTAATCAGTGGAGCCCCTAGTCATTGCCCCTTCCTTTCCAGAGCTCATCTTGGTTCAAAGTGTAGGGAATAGCAATGGTCAGGTCTGGTCAGGCACACAAAACCTGGCTTATAAATGGGAGCTTCCCCAGCCCTGCTGCAATTAAATGTACATTTCCTCTTCCTTCTTCCATGTTTACTGTCTTTCCTTATTTATTTTATTTTATTTATTTTATTATATTTATACCCCAACCATCTAGACCCTAGACCAAAGGTCTATTCTGGGCGGCAATGAAGCATGCTAGGAAGAAGCTTGAAAACTTGCACACCGTTTTGTCATCCTGGATAGCCTTACTGGCTCAAAGATAGATTTAGGAATGTTTTCTTTTAAGCATTGCTTTGAGTAATTCCATTACAACCCCCCCCACACACACACACCATGAAAATGACAAATTGACCGGATTCTCCTGAGAAGGCTAGCGTGTTGCAGCAAACAACAACAACAGAGCCCTGTAGCCCCTTGAAGGCTAGTTTTATTTAGCATAAACTATATAGCATAAAGTTTTATTTAGCATAAACTTTCTGCCCACTTCCTGAGATGCATCTGAAATGCTTCTACAGAGAAGCAGCAGGGCAGGAGAATTCCCCCGTATGGGCATCCCCCCGTCTTACAATCACACATGCTCTCCGGGGCAGAGTGTGTCACCCGGCTGACAGAAAAGGGGAGGGTGTTTCCTCGAAACGGTGACATGTAGCTGCTACTTGCATACAGACGTTTCAACCAGGAGCCAGCCTGGACGCAGCATGATCAAGACGCTCCTTCTCTGCCTCTTGTTAACGGTGGGTCCTGTGAGTCGTTTTGCACACATTTCTGCTGTGACCGAGAGTTGACTCTTGTAGTTCAGTCCTGGTAGAGTGATCTTTCAGGTTTCTTGTTTTTACTCTCCTGGTAAAACCAAGAAAAGAGGACGGAAGCCACTTTTGCGTCTGACAGGAAAACTTTGAGGATCTGATAGCGAGCTCTGACATTTCTCGGGGCTATTAAGAGTGGCAAAGTAACAGAAGTAGTTCCGTTGTTGCTGCTTGCGTGGGAGGAGAGGAAGCGAGGACTCTTCTGGGTTTAGATTTTTATAAACTCTGAAGAAGGGGGTTGTAAGACACCGAAGCTCACTTTGGAAGTAATTGTTTAGTCTTAAAAAAAATATTCCAGGACTTTTGCTTTCGTTTTGTCTGCTTGTTTGTTTTCACCTCTGGAATGCTTGCCAAAGCGCCCCCACCCGTTACGAACGTTAATTCATAGGTATCAAATGCAGGGTGAAGAGTAAAAGTTTATTTTATTACCTCAGATCTCACTGAAGTTGTGCAAATATCAGCGCAATAAAAATACATTACTGTTTTCCCAGTCCCTTATGGCAGACTCTCAGTATGCTGTGTATGTACATACTGTTACACAATTACGATGCAACCCCAAAGTAACTTTTGCGAGCAGGAAACTGGCCATTGTTTTCAGTATAGACCGTTGTTTGGCATTTTTATCTTTTTACAAATGAATCCTAGGGAAGACCTGCGGTGAATGTCAACTCCAGATGAGTGTTCTATTTAGTCAGAGTTTGGAAAAGTTATTTTTTTGAACTATAATTTGAAGTGACTTCCACTTGGCAGTGGTGGCTGGGGAATTTTGGGAATTGTGGTCCAAAAAAGGTAAATTTTGTAATGGATGCATTTAGTTCAGGTGAGGATGCCCATGTTTTGGTGGTGGCTAGGAGTACCTTTGCAGAATTAAAACTAGTGTGCTAGCTGTGCACCCATTCCTGGAGAGATCTGATCTTGCCACAGTTCTGCATGCCTTAGTTACATCCCCGCTGGATTATTGTAATACTCTTTATATGGGGCTGCCTATGAAATCTGTCTGGAACATCCAGCAGGTCCAAAATGTGGCAGCCAGATTGCTGACTGGGGCTGGTTACAGGGATCTCATAACCCCTCTATAACAGCAGCTCCACCAGCTGTTGGTCTGTTTTCAGGCTGAATTCAAAGGGTTGTTTCTAACCTATAAAGCCGTAAATGGCTTGAGCCCACAAGGACTGCGTCTCCCTTTGTGGGCCTCCATGAGTGTTAAAATCATCAAGAGAGACCTTTTTCTCGGTCTTGCCATCTTCACAGGGGTGTTTGGTGGGGAGAAGGCCTTCTCTGTTGCTGCTCCCAGACTTTGGAACTCCCTCCCACAGGAGGCCAGACTGGCTGCATCTTTGCTGTTTTTCTGCAAGCAGGTGAAGAACTTTCTCTTCAGACAAACTTCCCTGAGTGACTGGCTGAAATAATACATAGATCAATGATAGACTCCAAAAATTAATTTATTGAAAGTGGGTGCTTGAGGACAAAATGATCCACAGGTGCTTTATTTTTATTTATTTACAATATTTTTACCTCAGCTTTGTCCTTAAAAGGATCCAAGGCAGCTTACTTCATTAAAAAAAATTAAAACTAACAATAGTGAGTATACAAATACAAAAAAAGGATCAAATGAATACTATGCTTAAAAAAAACATAAGCAACACCAAAACACATTCAAAGCAGAAAGGTACAACCATCTGCTGTATTTAAAAACCCCACTCAGGCAGCCAGTCACTCAGAGAAGTTTGTCTGAAGAGAAAGTTCTTTGCCTCCTTGCAGAAAAACCGCAAAGATGTAGCCAGTCTGGCCACCTGTATATATATAAAATCCATGCCCAATAGAATTGCTAAAATGCACAAATGATAACTAAAATGATAACTAATCTTGTAGATCAGTGGTTCTTAACATGGGCGATAATGCCCCCCAGGGGGTGATTTCATTTTTCAGGGGGGC